TCAAGCTATGTCTGGAGTGTCTCACATCACTCCCCTCCCTTCGATTGTCCCGGTCGAGGAATCACTTGATTCTGGTGGCCCTGTGGTGCCGCTTTCGCCACCAGCCTCTCCCCCGGTGTCCCCTCCTCAGTCATCGCAGTCACCGCTGTAGCCGTCGTCGCAGCAGCAGCAGCCGTCGTCAACGCAGCAGAAGCAGTCGTTCATCAACTCTGGGGTTGCTGGCGTTAAGGAGGGTGCTATTCTTGGGGTTCCTGTCGTGGCTTGTCCCGGCAGGCTCGGGGGTGGCACCGGTGCTGGAGAGCGTTCTCGCTCTGGGGGTGCTTGCTCTTGGGGTGCTGGAGTGGAGTGTTTCGGAGATAGCCATGGTGCAGCTGGCGGTCCAGGTGTCGGTGTCGAGCAGCAGCAGCAGCACTCGCCGCCGGTGTCCGCCTTTCGGCTGCTCGGCCTTCCCTCACCTGACCGCTCGCCTGCGCCTCCCCCGCCGCCTACTCCCCTTCCTGTCCACGGTCGTGTGTTTCCTCCGCCGGACTCGTCCCCCGCCCGTATACCGCCTCGTTCCCCCCTTGTGTCTCCTCCTCTGTCTCCTGACCCTACGCCTCTGTCTCACGTCTGGTCTTGCCGTCCCTCGCGTGCTCGTCCTGTCTCTCCTGTTCAGCATTCTCATATTATGTTGCTTCGTTACCACGCATCTCGTCCTTCCCTCCTCCCATCTCCTACTCCGTCGTCACTCGCTGTCGCGCCTCCCCCTCTGTCTGACTACCTTTGTGCTGCTCGTCCTCTTGTTCCTCGGATCCTTGCCTCCCTTGTTACCGACCCGTCTGTTCTCGTCTCGAATCTTGACGCTCTTGTCGATGCTGTCACTGACTTCGCCTCTTCTCGCCGCCTTGACTACACCACCGATGTGGTCTCTGGCCCTGCCTGCCCTCCGTCCGTCAGGGGTGCTCCTGCCCATGGCAGTGACGTCCTAGAGGACAAGCAGTACGAGCTTGCTTTCCTATCTGAGGCCACTCCCCATCTCTATTCCATGCTGCTAGTCCCTGAGGATGAACCAAATGCCTTTGACATCCCGACCCCTCATACTTACGCTGAGGTGACCTCGGGACCCTGGGCCTCTCAGTGGATAGCTGCCATGGAGCAGGAGATGGCATATTGGAGATCCACATGCACCTACGTCGATGCTGTTCCCCCATCTGGGGTGAACGTAGTCAATGGCCAGTGGCTCTTCAAGGTAAAGCGCCCACCTAGAGAGCCGCATGTGTTCAAGGCGCACTACGTGGCTAAAGGCTTCAGTCAGCGCGAGGGGGTGGACTTCTTTCAGACCTTCGCCCCGACCCCAAAGATGACTACTCTTCGGGCGTTGCTACACGTATCAGCACAGCGTGACTACGAGCTCCACTCCCTCGACTTCTCCACTGCTTTTCTTTAGGGCAGCCTACACGAGCAGGTTTACCTGCGCCGTCCACAGGCCTTCACTGGTACCTTCCCTCCTGGGACCCAGAGGCTCCCCCGGCGGCCGATCTACAGCCTGCGATAGGCGCCCCGTGAGTGGCACGACATGTTGCATGCTACGCTAGCTGACCTGCAGTTCTTTCCGTCCTGTGCAAACCCCTCGCTCTTCGTTCATGCTGGCCAGACTCTATTCTATAGCCTTGTCTACGTAGACGACCTGGTCTTCGCTACTACAGACAGACACGCATTGGCCTCCGTGAAGGCCTGCTGAGGAGACACACCTGCACCGACCTTGGAGAGCTGCGCCGCTACCTTGGCCTGCAGATTTCCAGGGATAGAGCAGCGCGCACCATCACTCTCACACAGTCACACTTGGTGCGCCAGGTCCTTCAGAGGTTCGGCCTTCAGTTCTCCTCCGCATAGCCCACACCTCTGCCTGTAGATCACGGGCTCTCGGCTCTAGTCCCTGAGGAGTATGTAGAGCCTAGTGGTCCTTATTTAGAGCTTGTGGGTTGCCTCATCTACCTGATGACTTGCACTGGTCCAGATCTCGCATACCCTATCAGCATCCTGGCTCGCTTCGTAGCGACAGGCAGACACCGACCACAGCACTGGTCGGTCGCTAAGAGGGTTTTGCGTTATCTAGCAAGTACATCAGACATGGGGCTAGTATTGGGAGGACGCAGGCCAGTGGTCCTTACTAGGCACACGGACGCTTCTTGGGCAGACAACGCTGAGACCCTCAGGTCCTCTCAGGGTTACTGTTTTAGCCTTGGTGCAGGTGCCATCTCGTGGAGGTCCACCCGCTCGTCGTTTGTTGCCCAGTCCAGCTGCGAGGCTGAGATCTATGCTGGTGCCATGGCGGCAGAGGAGCTCCGCTGGCTGACATTCTTGCTCATGGACTTAGGTGAGCGGCCTAGCTCTGCCCCGGTCCTGTACGCTGACAACAGGGCCATGATCCTCCTGTGTCAGGAGCCTCGACTGGAGGGCAGCGCGAAGCACATCCAGCTGTGGTACTTCCTGCTGCGCGAGCTACAGCAGCATCGCCAGGCCCGCGTGGTACACTTGCGGTGCCAACACAGCTCACATCTTTACTAAGGCGCTTCGCTTAAAGTTTATCAGCGGCACTGTTTGCAGCTTGGTCTAGTTCTTGTAGCCACTCACTTTCTAGGACCTTGATTGTGTACTTTTCATATATACCTTTTTGACTGGCCTTGTGGCTTCTCTTCAAGTGGTCGGACTAGTAGTGCCGCCCTAGTTTGCTCTTGTCTTGTTTGTACTCTTGCTGACTGGTCTTCAGACCCTTGCCTCAAAGGCTGGACTAGTAGTGCCACCCTGGGCTGCGTGTCGACTTCCAGGCAGTGCCCCTCATCTGGCCTAAGGGGGTGTGTCAAAATTATTTATATATATTATAATATGCTACATAGGTGCATGCTCTTAGAGGGTACAAGCACTTGAACAAAACCAACCTGTATGCCTCCTTCTAGTCAACTTTTTACTCTGAGAAAGGAGCCATAGAAATGACGTGAGGTTTTAGGTGCTAGGAAAATTTACGAGAGAAGAGAGTTGGACTAGAAGAGGAGATACAAGAAGGGGGGTAGTCCCCTCTACAGTAGGATTGAGTAAGTAGCACAACCAAGCCTACAATTATATATAAAATATATATATAATTTAACACGAACAGTAACGGCGGGTACGGAAACCGAATCTTTTGGAGGGAAAAGTCCCGTCCGCAAAAAAATCTTACGGCCTACATGAAAAAAAAAAAGCGAAAACGGAAAGTCCGTCGTGCAGCGCATGCAAGAATTTACCGGACTATTTGATGGGGAGAATTTCACAACACTTGTTACATGTCAAAATCCGACTTGCAAATTTTGAAACCGGAGATGCTCGTCTAGGGGGCCGTTCGCTGGCAGTTTGCCGAGGGGAACGGGAAGGGGAACGGGCGACCAAATCCCTCGCGCATAGAATTTGCGCATCCAAACCTAGGTAATTTGTTTTTGTGTGCCCCAGTACTTTGGTAATCATAACGTCGCCGGCTCATGATTGCGTTGGTCACGACTGCTGCCCTGGATAAGACAAACTCGCGGACAGTGAAGAGTGGGGCCCATCAAAAGCCTTCTTAGCCCACCGCATTTTCGTAGAAAATTTGTGGAGAAAATGCGTTTCACATAATTTTGTCAAAACTGCCCTTTATTTAACATTTCAAAATGTGGCCGGTTGACTGGGTACAGGCTGGCGCAATTGTGCATATTGACGGGTTGGGTTGGAGGGGAAGTGCCTGTGAGGGACAAGCATGAGCTGCGGGTTTTTTTTTGGGTTTCGTAAACCTGCCCAGCCAAGAGGCATGCCAATCTTGGCCTGCCTCATACAGATCATATGCCTTGTAGGCGACTTCCTTTTACGCCCGCGAGTATCTCATAGGCATTTTATCCTTAAGGACCTCTCCTTGTAAGCAAAGTGTACCCGTGTCATGTGAACAGTTCTCATTACAGTCAATTGGCAACATTTTTCGAAAGCCAATCAGTGTTTTCGTGCGACCATTTTCAATGGCAGGCGATCTGACACTGGCTGTTTGTGTCAGAATCGTCAACCAATGCTCGGAGCCGAATACACATCACTTTCTGGAAAATCCAACCACTAGACCAGCCATTTATGTTCCTCCACGTTTGCCCCACAAATTGTGTGAGTAATGTTTGTACAATTGGGGGCCTGTTTTATATCACTGTAAAATGAATCCAGATGCGCAACCAGGACTGGTCACCGCTCTCGTCGATGTTCGCCTACCCCGTACATCTGCGATTCTCTCAAATGTAAACGTCTTTTCCTTGTTCTTGATAGAGCGCATTGAATGTTGTGTGGAATCTAAAACTTTACCATGAACCCTGAGTTGACGTGCGTGCGACATGGTGAGCGACACCTGATCGCAACAAACGCCAACACTGCCGACCATGAACAGTTCATAAAATACAAGCAAAAAACATTTTGCGACACGCCAGTGTCCCGTTTGCCCGAGCATATTCGATGTACGCGAAATCCCCCGAGTCGCTCCCCGGGCTCTCAGGGCATATGACCTGTACCACGTTTTTGCAGTATGAGGTGTGGCACGGATTGACGTTGATGTTTGCCTGGCAGCTCTGGGCGGCTAATGGCCGCGCTTCGGGTTTGGCATGAGAAGGGGCACGCGATTTGGGGGCTGTTGGTTTGGGGAAACCGAACCGACGCGACGATGTCGCATGCTGACGTCGTGGTTCGCAAATTAAGTTCGGCGAACCCACAAAGCCTCGATCGATGTTTCGCATGCCTGATTTCCCTTGCCGTGCCGGTGAAAATTTGGCTAGCGAATGGCCCCCAGGAGTCACTGTGATCACGAAATGTCCGGGCACTTTCGTCGAGCGTGGGGTGTCCAGACCAGAGTACTGAAAGCGCAGTCTCGACATCCACGGATGTCGTTGGATGTCGGATTTGCACTCTGGACACGCCCTAAAGTCGGCTCGCAACAATGGGCGAGTGGCTTGATCACTCCGAGCCGAGCCCTCCCCTCCTGATCGCACTATTGCTGCCCGTGTCATCTGCGTTGTCAACAGCACACCAGCGGCACGCCACCACCTCACTCCGACGCACATCGCCTCCCCATCTACCCGCGCGACTCTCCGCCTCGCCGTCGCCATGCTCGCGGGGCTCACAGCGCGCCGCTCCTCTAATGGGGTCGCCGCCGCCCGTTCCGCCGTCGCCCGCTGGTGCGTGTGCCGCCGTGTAGCGTCAACCCGCTACTGAGACCGTCCACCGTCTGCCTTAGCGTCCAGCGTGTACCTAGCTGTTGGCGTCAACTGTGCGCTGTGCCTGACGCGCGATGCGACCCGCTGGGATCCAGGTCGATCATCGGCCAGGCGCCTTGGCTCACATCTTTCCACAGCCGTCACTGCCAAGTTCTCAGCGCCGCCGCTCGACACGGGCTTTAAATGCTCTCGCGCTCCTCCCTCCCCGCCGCCTTACTTCCGCCGCGCTGAGTTGCCGTCGTCCTCCAACCCCCCTCCCTTTCCCCATCCCTCTCCTCTCTGTCTCTCCTGGTCTTTTTTTAGATTTCTCTCTCCCTTCCTTTCTCCCCAACCCTCCCCCTCCCCCCCCTTCTCTTCCCCTCGCTCTCTCCCTCTCTCTCAACCCCACCCTCCTTTCCGCCTTAATCTGATTCCCATGTACCTTCTCTCCATGCCCCACCTCTCCTGCCTTCTCTCCATGCCTCACCTCCCCTGCCTTCTCTCCATGCCCCATCTCCCCTGCCTTCTCTCCATGCCCCACCTCCCCTACCTTCTCTCCATGCCCCACCTCCCCTGCCTTCTCTCCATGCCCCACCTCCCCTGCCTTCTCTCCATGCCTCACCTCCCCTGCCTTCTCTCCATGCCCCACCTCCCCTGCCTTCTTACCATGCCCCACCTCCCCTGCCTTCTCTCCATGCCCCACCTCCCCTGCCTTCTGTCCATGCCCCACCTCTCCTGCCTTCTCTCCATGCCCCACCTCTCCTGCCTTCTCTCCATGCCCCACCTCTCCTGCCTTCTCTCCATGCCCCACCTCTCCTGCCTTCTCTCCATGCCCCACCTCCCCTGCCTTCTCTCCATGCCCCACCTCTCCTGCCGTCTCTCCATGCCCCACCTCCCCTGCCTTCTCTCCATGCCCCACCTCTCCTGCCTTCTCTCCATGCCCCGCCTCTCCTGCCTTCTCTCCATACCCCACCTCCCCTGCCTTCTCTCCATGCCCCACCTCCCCTGCTTTCTCTCCATGCCCCACCTCTCCTGCCTTCTCTCCATGCCCCACCTCCCCTGCCTTCTGTCCATGCCCCACCTCTCCTGCCTTCTCTCCATGCCCCACCTCTCCTGCCTTCTCTCCATGCCCCACCTCTCCTGCCTTCTCTCCATGCCCCACCTCCCCTGCCTTTTCTCCATGCCCCACCTCCCCTGCCTTCTCTCCATGCCCCACCTCTCCTGCCTTCTCTCCATGCCCCACCTCCCCTGCCTTCTCTCCATGCCCCACCTCCCCTGCCTTCTCTCCATGTTCCACCTCTCCTGCCTTCTCTCCATGCCCCACCTCCCCTGATTTGTCTCCATGCCCCACCTCCCCTGCCTTCTCTCCATGCCCCACCTCCCCTGCCTTCTCTCCCTGTCGTCTGCCCTGCTCCACGCCATCCCCCCTGCCAGGACTGCCGCCGCAGTGAGGCTGCTCCCCCCCGCGCACCCATCGCCCACCGCACCCATCCACCCCTCTCCCGCGCCCACCTCCCACGCCACGCGCACCTCCACCACCCCCTTCCCCACCACCTCTGCCTCCTCCCCTTCTGCTCCCTCCTCCCTCTTCGCCCGAACCTTCCCCTCCACAATCTCCCCCTCGTCTCCCCCAGCCTCCACCCCCGCGCCCCTCCTCCCCCTCACGCCCTCGCGCGCCTTCATCCAGCTGCGCACCAACCTGCAGGTGGCCGACAACTCGGGCGCGCGCCGCGTGCAGTGCATCAAGGTGCTGCGCGGCCGCGGCCCCAACGCCGCGGGTCTGGGCGACCTCATCATCGCGTCCGTCAAGGACGCGGAGCCCAGAGGCAAGGTGCGCAAGGGCGAGGTGGTCACGTGCGTGGTGGTGCGCGCCGCCACACACCACAAGCGCGCGGACGGCACGGAGGTGCGGTTTGACGGGCCGGCAGCGGTGGTGATCAGCAAGGCGGGCGAGCCGGTGGGCACGCGCGTGTTTGGGCCCGTGCCGCACGAGCTGCGGGGCCGGAAGATGCTGAAGCTGCTCACGCTGGCGCAACACGTGATCTGAGTGCGGGGCGAGGGGTGTGGGGATGGCACAATGTGATGTGGGCGTGGCGTATGTGTTAGGGGGCCACGATGCCCTCATGGCTGACATCTCTAACAACGTGGCCCAACAGGTGCATGGCACCACGGGGGTGACCAGTCACAGCATAGAAGGTGACCAGTCACAGCATAGAAGGTGACCAGTGACCACGGCGAGTCTGTGGATGTGCGGGGTGTGCAAGCAGCAAGTGTGGAGTTGACAGTGTGCAAGCAGCAAGTGTGGAGTTGACGGTGTGCAAGCAGCAAGTGTGGAGTTGACAGTGTGCAAGCAGCAAGTGTTGAGTTGACAGTGTGCAAGCAGCAAGTGTGGAGTTGACGGTGTGCAAGCAGCAAGTGTGGAGTTGACAGTGTGCAAGCAGCAAGTGTGGAGTTGACGGTGTGCAAGCAGCAAGTGTGGAGTTGACAGAGCTCGCTTCAGACCCGAGGTCTGTTGAGGTGTGCTAGTACTAGATGTGGCTCCCCATCCTCCAGTATCAAGATCAACTGAATTTGCCTTTCCTATGTGATAAGTTAGGGTTTTGCTTACGTCTGTTTGATGACATTATGTACACCTCGGTACACTTCAATGCACCAACGCACCCTATTTTAGTGTTGGGGTATCTTCTAACCTAGAATCCGCAGAAAGACACGGCACAACCCTTATCTAAAACCGGGGTCTTTCAGCAGCAAGGGCAGCAGGCAGTGGAGGCAGCATTGCTGCGGGGAGAGGTGCAGTGGCACACGGGGTCGTGTTCATGCAGCGCTGCGCCTCCACTCCAGCCCATTGTATTGGTGGTAGCCAGCTGGACTTCTCCCTCTGCACAGGCACATCACCTCTCCATCACTCATCACATCCCGGTCGCTGAAGCTCTGACACGCCTCTATCGTCATGCACCCCCCACTAGTCCCCCACCCGCACCCCACCAACCCCCCGCCAGTGCGAATTCACCACCCAGCTAGTCCCCATCGGAGCGCATGTCAAACTCCTCATCGCTGATGACGTTGGGGATGAACAGCCGCGACCCCGCCACCACCTGGTCGCCCGCCACCACCACGTCGGGGTTGGCGCTGCGCAGCGCGTCCATGGGCACCTGTGAACGACAGTGCAGGGGGGTCATGAGAATGGGCGCGGTCAGGGGGTTACGAGAACAGGTGGCAAGGCGCGACAAGACACCCGCCACCTGATCGCCCTGCAGCACCACGTCGGGGTTGGCGCAGCGCATCGCAGCGCGTCCACGGGCACCTGAGATAAGCACAGGGGGATGAATAAACGGGGGTGTACGCGCGCTTTGTGAGCAACCTCCCGGCACCTGGTCGACCTGCGGCACGTGGTCGACCTGCGGGCCTGGTCGACCTGCGGCACGTGGTCGACCTGCGGGCCCGGGTTGGCACAGCGCATGCATGGCGTCCAGGGGCATGTGGGGATGCATGCACGTGGGCGTGGGATAGCAACATAAGGGCAAGGGGGTCGGGAGGAGGGGCGAGGGTTGCGTGGCTTGAAAGGGCAGAAGCGATGCCAATTCCGTGGCGGAGCGTCCAGAGGGCAATCCTGGCAGTGAAGGACGGGCAAGGGACAGCGCTGGTAACCAGTTGCACCTGCAAAGGACAAGGGGTATGAGTTGGTTGAAGAGCACAGCAGCGTGCGCAGCGTGTCCCCCCCGTGCACCTCCACCGCCATGCCGTCACTCACCACCACCCCATGTGCACACCTTGGGCTGCGACACGCAGCCTCATGCACCCACAGCCAGATACGGGTACATGCACCCACAGCCAGATACGGGTACATGCACCCACAGCCATATACGGGTACATGCACCCATAGCCATATACGGGTACATGCACCCATAGCCATATACGGGTACATGCACCCATAGCCATATACGGGTACATGCACCCATAGCCATATACGGGTACATGCACCCATAGCCATATACACCCCCACATGCACCCATAGCCATATACACCCACATGCACCCATAGCCATATACACCCACATGCACCCATAGCCATATACACCCACATGCACCCATAGCCATATACACCCACATGCACCCATAGCCATATACACCCACCCACATGCCGGCACACAGAGTGTGAGTACCTGGTATTTGTGCGCCAAGCCCCAGAGCGTGTCGCCCTTGTGCACTCTGACCGTCATGTCCGGATCCACCACCAACGCCTGCACGTGCCGCCGCACATGCGCCTGCAGGGGTGGGGCAGACACATGCACACGTGCACACATACACACATGCGCACATGCACACAGGCACACATGCACATACGCGGAAGCTTCCATATGCATGCACACATGCAAATTCATGCCCCACACAGACCCAAATGCTCCCACATGCACACACCAGGCAACACCCACACGCACGCACAAGATGCGTTAGCAGGCGGCACACTGACAGTGCAGTGGCCCGGCCGCACACTGATAGCGCAGTGGCCCCATCATGGCCTACCTTGGACGAGGGGCAGGTGAGGTGCGGGAGAGAGGGCGCGGGACGAAGGGGACGTGCAGCACACAGCAACGTGGCACTGTACTGGGTGCGTCTCTCAACATGCTGCGCTTACCGCCGCGCTGTGAATGTTCCCCGTGCGCCCCATGTTTATCCCCTTCACGCCCGCATCCATCCCACACGCCTCCTCACATCGCCCCCTCACCTTGCCCTTCCCCGTGTGCGCCGCCTTCCCCTCCTCCCCCCGCCCCATCAGGTACTTCACGCCCAGCCCCGCGGCCACGACGGCGCCGCCCGCGATCATAGCGCCCTGCCACAGCGGCTCCTTCCACCACTCCCCCTCGCCGCCCTCCCCCTCCTCCGCGCCCCTCCCGCGCTCCTTCCCCCCTTCCCCCCCCGCCTTCCCCGAGCCCCGCGCGGCCATCTCGCCCGCCCGCCCGCGATGCGACGGCGCGATAGGTTTGGGATCCGCGCCGGCGCAAATAACAATTGCGCTAGAAAAGCCGCAAGCGGGCGGGCAGATCGCGAGCCGGCAGAGCGCGGCGCAACTATCTAGTTAGCTGGGAAAGCCGCAAGCGGCGCAAGCGGGTGTCGGCGACAAGTCGCGCGCGCTAGTTGCGGCGCGAACAGCGACGAGGGCCGGCACGGCGATGGCGGACGGGCAGCGGCTGTTCAGGCTATTGCCGGCGCGCTGTGCGGGAAACGAGGAGCTTTCTAGCGGAGCTGCGAAGAAGAAAGAAGTGGGAAAGCGAGGAACGAGTGGAAGGCGAGGGGAGAACGGAAGGCAGGAGCGGATCAGCGACAGTAAAAAACGCGAGAAGCGCCGCTTTTCCCATCCCGCTTCAGAGCAGGCGGAGACGCGGACCGGAGAAGCGGGGCACGGACGGAGGAGAGGCGCACGGTGACGCTGGCGTTGACGTTGACGTTGACGTTGAGGGCACGGCAATGACGCCGGGGGGAGGCGGGCAGGCGGGTGAGGCGAGGACGAGAGACGGGTGACATGGCGCCATGGTGGCGAGAGTCGCTCCCGCCACAGGCGGAGTGGCCGTCGCTGCAGACGCGGAGACGGGGCTCGCTGAAGGGAGGCGCCACGCGGAACGCCGACAGCCTCTTTCGTTGGAGGGCGCCACGCGGCGAGCATGCGAGCAGCCCTTCAAGAATGCAGCCCCCGTGGCTCGCTGTCGGCTATCGAGTGTCTAACTGTCGGTTGTCGCTGGCTGTCAGCTGTCCTACCAGAAACAAACGAGTGCTGCTACAAATATAGTTAAAGCCCCACCGTGAATGTGCAGATACGGACTGTAAATACCGGTAACTAGTGCTAGAAAACCTTGAAAAACAAGTCTAAACCAATGAGGCCGTAATTCCCATAAAGGACCCGCCGGTAAGAGATTCCATGGGAAGCTTGGGAGGATGTGGACTTATGCGATGATAAGCGCCTGATAGGATCTTCAGAATTGAACACCAAGTGAGCGTTGGTAGCGGAAGCGTTGTGATTGGTTCATGATCAGGGTCTCAGATATCAGACGAAATCCGTCTGATGGTCTGAAAATCAGACCTGTTTTTTTGCTTTCATCAGATTTTTTGACGGGGTGAATTATTTTGTCTGATTGTCCGTCTCAGTCATAAGATTTCGTCTAAAAGTTCAGACTTGGTATATTTTTTTGTCTGAAATGTCAGATAGCACGTACAATTTCGTATGACAACAATCTGTTAGAAAGAGAGAATGACTAGAATAGGAAGATAAGGGCAATATAGACTAGTGTGTTGTACCCTCTAAGGCACAAACCTGTATAGTCTACAGTAACAACATAAGTTATGTTTGACACACCCCCTAGACTATATAGGGGCAGTGCCTAACAAGGGACGAAAAAGCTCAGAGCGGTACTACTAGTCCAGCCTCTGAGTTAGAGATCTTAAGACCAGTCAAAAGGAGTACAGACAAGGCAAGAGCAAGACTAGGGCGGCACTATTAGTCCAGCCAGGGCCTCAGATTTCAGGATGTTTTATCCAGAATTCCTGATTTTCAGGATGCCTGTTAGGTGCCAATCCTGAAAAATCCGTTTAAGGTCATTTTGTCAAATGTAACTTAGGTCGTTACTATAGACTATACTGGATTGTGCCTTACAGGGTACAACACCCTAGTCTATATATCCTTGTACACATACCTTCTAGTAAAAAATCATTCTCTTTCTGATATGGTATCAGAGTAGGTTAGATCCCCCCCTAGCCCGCTCACGCTTCTGCCCCTACGTTCCTAGCCGGCCCCCTGGCCGTCGCGCTCGTCCCTAGCCGGCCCCCAGGTCGTTCGCGCCTGTCCCTAGCCGGCCCCCTGGCCGTTCGCGCCCGTCCCTAGCCGGCCCCCTGGCCGTTCGCGCCCGTCCCTAGCCCGACCCCTGGTCGTTCGCGCCTGTCCGTAGCCGCCCCCCTGGCCGTCGCGCCCGTCTCTAGCTGGCCCCCTGGCCGTCGCACCCGCTCCTAGCCGGCCCCCTGACCGTCGCGATCGCTCCTAGCCAGCCCCCTGACCGTCGCGCCCGTCCCTAGCCGACCCCTGACCGTTCGCGCCCGCCCCTAGCCGGCCCCCTGGCCGTCGCGCTCGTCCCTAGCCGGCCCCCTGGCCGTCGCGCCCGTCTCTAGCTGGCCCCCTGGCCCTCGCGCCCGCTCCTAGCCAGCCCCCTGACCGTCGCGGCCGCTCCTAGCCGGCCCCCTGACCGTCGCGCCCGTCCCTAGCCGACCCCTGACCGTTCGCGCCCGCCCCTAGATGGCCCCCTGGCTGTCGCGCTCGCCCTTAGCCGGCGCCCTGGCCGTCGCGCCCGTCTCTAGCTGGCCCCCTGGCCGTCGCGGCCGTTCCTAGCCGGCTCCCTGCCCGTCGCGATCGCTCCTAGCCGATCCCCTGGCCGTTCGCGCCCGCCCCTAGCTGGCCCCCTGGCCATTCGCGCCCGTCCCTAGTCGACCCCCTGGCCGTTCGCGCCCGTCTCTAGCCAGCCCCCTGGCCGTCGAGCCCCTCATAGCCGGCGCCCTGGCCGTTTCGCGCCTGCTCCTCACAGGCCCCCTGGCCGTTTGCGCCCGCCCCTAGCCGTCGCGGCTGCTTCTAGCCGCCGTCGCGGCCGCTTCCCGCCGTCCCTCGGCCG